CGCGCCTGCGCACTGTGGTGCCGGCGCCGGCGAGCCGGCCTTGCGGGCCCCTTTCCGGTAATGCAGTTGTTTGCTTGTCCTTGCAGCACACTCTTCCTGCTGGCCGGTTCAGTCGACTGTGGCCCCTGCGCTTTGCATTCCCCGGCCAGAGTTCGCAAGTCCCCACACGCCTGCGCATTCTGGATCCTGACCACTACCCTACGCACTGCGCCTCCTCAACCCTAACCCCGTTTGCCTGCGTATGGCCCCTCCTCAGCCCAACCTTTCGCGCCGCCCGCGCCCCATCCCGTCATTTCTCCCTGGTTGAACACACCGAGCAAAGGTGTGGAGGGTGCTGAGAGTCAAGCTTGCATAGCGCCCGTTACCTTTGGAATCCTGCCGTGCAACAGTGTCTGGGTGGTCACCGTGGGCGAGCAGGGATGAGTGTGCTGTGTACCCAGGAAAGCAGACGTCAAAGGACCTGCACCAGTCCTGCCGTCCTCTTCGTTTTGCGACATTGGGATTGAACACAGGACTTCCCCATTCAGCTATATTCCCTGCTCTTATTTTTTGAGATAGGGTCTCGCCAAATTTCACAGGCTGGATTGGAACTCAGGATCCTCCTGCCTCAGCCTCCCAGAATGCTGGGATCACAGATGTGCGCCTGAGCAGCAGAGCCTGCCACAAAAGCAAATAAGATGAAGGCCAAGAAGCCCCGTGGAGGAGGCCCCCTACCTCTTTCCAGGAGCAAGGGCCGGTTCTCTGCGAGGCACTGGGACTCTAATTTGCTGATAAAGTAGGGGCGTTTTGTCCTTACAGGCAATGACAGAGTATCAGCTCTTTGAAGGCACTCCTGAGAGGACCACAGAGCACTGTCAGCCTACGTTTAGGCTCCTGAGGAAAACAATCTAGTGCATTTAGGGCCTGCACGGTTGTGCATTATCCACCAATTCATCTACATAGACAGCAGCCCAGACTGGCCAGGGTTGGGTACACCAGGTAGCCTAGGTCCCCCCCGCCTTCTGCATGAAGTTTGTGTCCTTGAAATTCACGATTTAAACTGCCACCCACCGAAGTGATGCCACTGGGAAGTGGGCCCTCTGGGAAGGCATGAGGTCCTGGGGTGAAACCTCAAGAACAGGGCTAGTGACCTTTCAAGTGGATCCTCAAGCTTTCACCCTGTCTGCCAACCAAGGACAAAAGGAAATGTTGCCACACTGAGACTCTCAGGCACTGTTTTCCAAACACCAAAAGGACCCAACCCTGGCCTGACCCACATTCCTTCCACCTTCATGTAAACTGCACCTCCAACCCTGGCTGGGGACACCCCGAGGTGGAACACCTCTCTTGCCCTGTTGTGAGGCTCAATGCAGCCCTCTGCAGTCAGTCCCCTTGGAAATGCCGTGGACTGATCACTGGCTGGCTGTGCTTCCTTTTAGGGATCCTAACCAGCCCCATCTTGGGGAAACGTGGGCCACTCCCTCATGGGAACTGCTCTGCCACTGCTTTGGGGCAATGCCCCAAAGTCTCCAAGTTCAGCAAGAGAAATCACATCCAGAGTGATGAGAAATTATTGTTTATAAATTACCTAGGTGGTGGTACTTTTTCTTTACCCCACAGTAGCGGGGATCAAACCCAGGGATAGTTCACCACTGGGCTACATACCCAGCACCTTTCTGAAATGGTCTCTCTAAGCTGCCCAGCCTGGCTTTGAACTTGGTTTCCTTGTGCCCATGGACAGTTTTTTGGAGAAGAGCTTGTAAAGGGAGGGGCGGGGCACCATCTGCAGCCCATAGCCTGAAAGGTCTCTGTACTGTACTCCAGAACATCCAGCTCCTGTCCCCTGCTGGATCAAGTCTAGAGCATTGTACCCCTGGCTGCTCCTGAGGCTGGGAACATAAGAGCTGTGGCTGCTGGAACTCTCTGCCAGTTTGTCCACGTGCACCACAACCTTGCAGGAGTGTCTAAAACCCACAAGTTTGATCTAAACCGATTCCAAAACTCCTGGTCTGCTCGGAGCCCCAGAGGCTTGTCTGGCTCTGAGCTGGTGCTTCTCAGAAATGACCTGTAGACTTGGGCACACATGTAAAGGAAGACACTGACATGAGCTGGTGATAACAGAAATGTGTTATTTAAAGGAGATGCCCCTCTATCCTCACATGTCCCTAAAGCAACTTCAAGCCACAATTACTTCTTGGTCCTGGTCCAAAACCGTCTGTAACTCTCAGTGTCAAAGTCATCAATGAGTTCTGGCTCCTCCTCTTTCTTGTGTTGAAGCTGGGTCTCACGCTTCCGCAACCTGGCCCGGCGCTCCTCAGGGGACAGGGTGTCCAGATCCAGGGGCATCTGTGAGGAGAGGCCAAGGTGTGACACAGTGCAAGGAACATAACTACCAAGATGACTGCCTGGGCCTTGGCCTTACCTGATGGCTTCTGTAGCCTATGCTTGCTTAATTGTAAAAAAAAAATCTGTTGGTCTTTCTCTCCCTTTGAAGCTTTTCCTGTACTAAAAAAATGTTTTCTATTTGTTTCTTCCACAGTTAGTTTTTAAAAACACTGACTCACATTCATTCTATCTGAATGGCACTTGGAGGAGTTACAGGTCAAAATCCCCGCTACCCTCCAACAAACTGCTCCCCTCCACCTGCAGTATAGCTTCCCACAGCCCACGTCTGATGGCTGTGAAACCTGCCATCATGATTCAGCCTCCCATAGGACCAGGGAGCCCCTGGCAACGGACACTTACTGCCAGCATATGCCTCGGCTCCCAGTATCGGATGTGAATGGTGGAGCCATCCTGCTTGACTAGCAGCACTGGGTAGAGTCGTGGGTAGGCCTGGCGGTGCAGGCGAGTGAGTGCAGCCCTGGTACTGTCTGCCCAGCTAGTGGAAGTGTGTAGGCAGCAGGGCCTGGATGCAGCTGCCTTCACAGTGTTCTGCCCCAGCAAGCTACAGACAACAGGCACTGGTCAGTGGTGCTGAAACAGAACACCCCCACATGGCTGGGCCGGCCCACTACCATTGGGCATGATGGAGGGGCCAGCAGAGCTTCAGTGATCCACAGACTGGTAATCCACAGTTGGGATCCCTAAGGGGCCACAGGTCATGACAAAGCAGCTCTAGCCCCACAACTAGAAGGGGCCACAGTGGGTCATCAAGGGCACAACTCCTTCAGCACTGACAGGAGAGGACAGCCCTGTCTCGGTGAGAGTTTCCTGGGGTGGGCTGACAAGAGTCCTGCAGGGATGGAAGTCCACTTACCCAAGCAGGCGGCCCACAGCTGCCATTCTCCCTTTGGCCGCCGTCTGTCACTGGCCTTAGTATGAAACCTGCTAGGCAAGGAAAGAAATCTCTTTTTTTCCCCCTCTCCCACCCCTTAATTCATCCTCATGAAATCCTGGCCAAAACAAGTCACAGACCCAAATATCTCACTATGTAGCTCATGCTGGCCTTGAACTCGTGATCTTCCTGCTTCAGCCTCCCAAGAGCTGGGATTACAGGTGCACACCACCACACTCAGCCCTTCCATATACCTTTTTTTTTTTTTGGTACCAGGGATCGAACTTGGGTCCTTGTACTTGCAAGGCAGGTGGCAGAATCACTGAGCTAAATCCCTGGCCGTCCATCTACTTTTAATTAATGTGTAATATTTAGCGACCGAAGATCTAATCCAGGGCCTCATGCATGCGTGGCAAGGGCTCCACAATTGAGCCACACCCCTCCCATTTTTAAAAGATATCTTCAATCTGTGATTGGTTGAGTTTTCGGGTACAAAGAACCAAGTGTAATCTTAGCTCAGTAGCCCATGGAGCTTCTCTGGTTGATACAGCTCATTAGAGCCATTTGAGGCTGGGCCCAGACCCGCATACTGCGGCAGGTTTCAGCTTTGGGAAGGCCCACCATGTGAACAGCGGAGCTCGGCTCACTATCTGCTCTTTAAAATCCCTGCTAATTTTCATAAAAACTCGGCGAGGCGTGGCTTATCACGCTTGCTTACAAAAGCCTAAGACAGGGCTGCCTTTCCTACACCCCAATTCTCAAAGGACTCTGCGTGCTGGTGTCCGAGGTCTCCAGAAACCAGACTGCACGAGTGGCCCGCAGTTTGCCTCTGGCAGCCCAGGTGTGACAACGAGGGCATCCAAGGGCTCGTCCGGCTGGTTCATGTCCTTACCTACGACTTCCTGGCCCCAACCCTCCAGAGGCAGCGGACAGGGCCGGCTCCCGACGAGCGAACCCACGCAGCCCAGCGCAACCGCGCAACCCCCGACCGGTCTCCCACGAACGCGAGTAGGACCCGAGGCCCAACTGTCCGAACACCCACTGAGCAGCTTGGAAACTGAGGCCAAGGAGGGGCCGCTCACAGACTTTGATCCCCTGCAGGCTCTGCGTCGCGCGGCGGTGACGTCCTGAAGAGCGACGACAGCAAGGCAATGACTTCCACGGGGATGGGGCGGGGTTTACGGGCCTGGAGGGGGCCCGCGAGGCGGGACTTGCGGGAGCTACGCTACGCCCCTGACCGGCAGGTCCGAAACCAGGCTTAGGTGGAGCCAGGGAAGGGCGTGGGCCCGGCGGGGCGGTGAAGAATACCGAAGGGGGCGGGGCGAGAGGCCGGAGTGGGCGGAGCAGGGGTAAAGCACACTCGCGAAAGGGGCCGGCGCGTTGCTGTGACGTACAGTCGGGCGCGGCTGGGTGACGCACAGGGATAGGCCGGCTGGTCCTGCGGGGTCGACCGCGAAGCAGAACCCGATAGGGAAGCGGCGCAGGGTCTGCCCTGTCAGCCCAGACCCTGGAAACCAAGACATCTGAAGAAGCCTTCGTGCGCTACGTCACCCGGATCCGGAAGCGCGTCCCGGGACCGCAGCGTCCCCGGGAAGAGCCGGGCGCAGCTTCGTGTCGTGAGAGGCGGGGTAACTTTAGGGACCTGAGCCTGACCCTCGAGGAAGACCGGCTGCCGTTTCTGGACAGCAGAATGCAGTTTTCCTTGGTGGCAGTCCCGCGGTCTACCTGGGGCCCTGTGGTTTTGTTTTTGGGTTTGGCCCGAAGCTGTTAACTGACTAGTTTCTCATATCTCCTGTCTTCTATCCCTTGGCCTTTTAATCAAACTTAGGACATCTTGGGATTTTCCTCTAATAATTTGCAAGCACACCTTCCCACCTCAGCCGCATTCCGTGAAGACCCTCTCCTGGGAGCAGCCAGAGCCACCGAGGACCACGAGTGCTCCTCGTGTGTCCGGCCCCTGTAAGGGGTGGCATTTGTTTCAAAACAGCTTTCCTGCTTTTCCTCCAAAAGTTATTGGCAAGGCTCCCGGGAGTTTTGTACCCTTGTGAATGGACCTGGATACCACATCTAACACACAGAGTCTCTAGAGCGGCTAAAATCACATTCACGCTGATAAGTTCTTGGGTTTTCTGACAGTATTGGCCACACTTCTATAATTCCACACTCGGGAAGCTGAGGCAGGAGGATCGCTGCGAGTTAGAGGCTAGGCCGGGGCACATAGCTTAAGGCCAGTCAGAACTACATAGTGAGATGTTGTCACCAGGAAAGACAACACGGGTCACTCTCTGCCAACAAAACTGAGGCCGAAAAATGTCTAAGCTTCGGTGCACTTTTTTTTTTTTTTTTTTTTTT